TAGATAATTTAGAAGTTTCATCTGGTCTTGTTGAGATATATAGTTGAGTATCATCGGCATAACAATGGAAACTAATCCCGTATTTTTTTATAATATTACCAAGGGGCAAAATGTATATCGAAAATAGCAGAGGACCTAGGACAGATCCTTGTGGCACTCCATATTTTACTGGTGATAATTGAGATGACTCCCCATTAAAACCCTGCCCTATGAAAACACACTTCTAGCAATGACAACCAAAATCTAATGAGAAAAGAAACCAAACACTTACAAGCTGCTGTCCTCTTCTTCAATATAAATGATCAACCAGTTGCGATTTTGTATTTTGCTTGAGCCTATCTGAGTATAATAAGCAGATAAAGTTGGATATATGAATTACAGTTGTCAGTTGATGTTAGTAATTCATTTTGCAGTGATATCGGGGATTATGAAATCTGCAGATTCATTTTAAATTTCATTCATGATCTCAACATTGTTGGCCGTTTGAATTTGAATTCAGTGGGAGATTTTCAAGCATTAATATTTTTAAATGCTTTTATCCAAATCTCTGCTGATTTCTTGTGACGTCATCGTGGGTAAAGAGAAAGCTACTTATGTGTGAGGGATGAAATGTCTTAAAGGAGTAGTTCACTTCCAGAATGAAAATGCTGTCATCATTTACTCACCCTCCAAACCTGTATGAGTTTCTTTCTTCTGTTGAACACAAAAGAAGATATTCTGAAAAATGTTGGTATCCGAACAGTTGATGGGCACCATTGACCTCCATAGTATTTTTTTCCTACTATGGAAGTCAATGGTGCCCTTCAACTGTTTGGATGGATACTAACATTTTTCAAGATATCTTCTTTTGTGTTCAACAGAAGAAAGAAACTCATACCAGTTTTGAACAAGTAAATGATGACAGAGTTTTCATTCTGGAAGTGAACTACTCCTTTAAGCAACAGAGAAACACATCAAGCTTAGAGAAGCTAAACAGTCATAGCTGATGCACATTTAAGTCCATGTCCGTTAAGAGATCCTGACCTCTAGTGGTGTGTGGATGGCACCACATCATGTATGTTTTATTGAGTAGAAATTACAAAGCATAATGAGATTTGTACAAAGTGGTCAAAGAAAAGAAAAGTTCTTTTTATATGTTAGGTAACAAATTTTGTGTTATGTAGACTGTACCAATGGATCAGGCCCATTTGTCGCAATATAAAACAGTGATGACAATCAAATCCCCAAGTCTCTCAAAGTTGGTAAGAACTATTTTTCTCTAGTTTTAATTTTGGGAAGTTGGCATATCCTGTGGTCTGACATGCTAAACCCAATCTAACACCATTTTAAACAACATTTTATTCATTCTTTTATAAATATTGTGCATTTATGAGCTCATATTATTAATTGAGAGACTGTGGAATATTGGTACTTTTACACTGCAAGTCCATTTAAATGAACTAGAGACGGCAAAGTTGTGTTTAAAATGGATTTAAAAGAAATGGTGACCAGTTGCAGGCTGATTAAACACATTATGAATCAGCTTTAACCTATTACTGCTGAGAGTGCAGTGACACCCTGTTACATGTAGTATTAAAAAGAGGAACATGTTTAAAGTGGAAATTACTGAGATAAGGGTTTTCTTCTGAAAAAGAGTCAGCAAATCATCCTAAAAAGTGACGGCTTATTTATGCTTCTGTTCTATGAAAGTCTCGAGTCGAAAGCAGTGACACAAACTACTTACAGTTTGCTGAATGGTGAAATCCAAAGGTCTGAATCCAAAATGTCATCATGATTTTCTCCAGTGGTAGGGGATGTCCAATTTCATAAAAAAAAAAAAAAGTTAAGTTAATTAGTCAACATAAGACTTTTTGTGCATTTACTCGTAATGTCACCACTGTATCAAAGTCTGTCACAGACTAAAAACAATAAATGACAATTTATAATAATAACAATAACAAGTAAAAAAATTGTAGTTAAACCATGGTAACCACAAATTAACCATAGTTTAACCATTGTATTTGTGGTAAAACTGTGGTTATACAAATGGCAATCCAAAAAACACATGATCACATGATTACTAAACATTTACTATAATAAAACCATGGTTAATCGTTCGTAAGGATCATATTTAAGCTAAATTTACACTTGATTGTAGAGGAAACTACTATTCATACAACAGACATTTAAGTGAAAGTAGGCCTTTCTGCAGAAATAAGGGACAATATACAGTCAATCTGTTATTTATATATACACAAACTAAATACCAAAAGGTTGACCAAGACCAATACAAAGCTACTTACAAATAAATTATGAAATGAAATGACATGAAATATGATTTGGGTTTAAATAGATTTATTATGTGAGAAGGGAGTGTGTGGAGTGATATGAGACATTTGAAAGGCCATGTAGGAAAATACAACATTTGACTGAGACAACGATCAGTTATAGCCTACAGTTTGGCCTTGTTAAATATTTGGCCAAAGAATGACACCACAGACTAATCAAAATCAAGTCTTCCATAAAGCCCAAATATCCTCCTGAGAGCCGGGGGGGAGTTTTGTCAATTTTGTTGTTTTTTTTATGTCACTGCATTGTTCCGAGCATAATAAACGAATGGAGAAAAACATTTTTGAAAAAAAAAATAAAAAAATGTATTCATATTTTATTCTATATCCTTTGTAGAGGACGCCAGGATTAAGTTATTTCAAAAAAAAAAAAAGTAATGAAAAGGCATGTACAGGCAAAAACAATGTTCTTTTCATTAATTTTTTTATTCACCAATCAGTTTTTAGGTTTCAGGCTATTTTTAGCCACATTTTGAACAAAGATGATTCTCAACTACGTTATGAAAGATATAACAGAATGATTTGATATACTATTTAACTTTATGTGCATAAAATGTCCATAAATTGTTATTCCCATTCTATACAATGTGTCCATACATTGCATCTAATTTGCATATTAATGTGTTCTTGGGGCAAACCATAATGAAAAAAGAAGAGTAATACACTCTAAAAAAAATCCTGGGTTGTTTTTTAACCCAAATGCTGGATTGAGCCTTTTTTTTCCAGTGTTTGGGTAGTTTTAGTGTTACTCAGATCCTGGGTCAGACGTAACCCAGCAGTTGAGTTAATAATCACGGGGATTTTGCATCCTCTTCAGGAGAGAGCAGTTCTAAGCGGTAAATCCAATTCTGTTTAATGTTTCAATTTTACTTCTAATGTTTGTTAAACGAGTTTAAATATAGGCAATATGGCGGTTGGGTTACTACCCAGAAGGTTGGCTTACTGCCCAGAAGGTTGGGTTAAACATTTAACCCAACCGCTGGATCAAAACAACCCAATTGCTGGGTTTGTCCCTATTTTACCCAGCACTGGGTTGCATTTAACCCAGCATTTTTTAGAGTGTATCATGCAAACCAGTGGTTGTGTGGAGTACTTTACAAACGTTTAGAGAAAAGTTAATCTGTAAACATTATTTCATGTATGAAGTAATAAATAAGCTAGTATTATAGTACAAATGAATCAACGCATATGCTGGGTTAAATAAACAACCCAATTTGCTGGGTAAAATGAACCCAAAATGTTTTCTGTCCTATATTTACCCAGCCCTTGGGTTAAAAATAACCCAAATTGGGTTGTTTTTAACCCAGTGTTTTTTAGAGTGTAATGGGAGTAATAACTTGGCAACATTTTCATAAGAATATCTCATATTTCATAGGAACATTGATCGATAATTTCTTGTTGTGTTTCCCCAAAATGCCTGATTAACAGCCGTTTGTCCTGGTGTCCTCTACAGGAGACATGCATGAAAATTATGCCGTTTCATAAGTCATATTCCGATTTGAATCCCCTTAACATTTTCCTGAGATGTTTATTTACGACAAACATTTTGAAAATTAGTCAGATTTAAATGATAATTACAAAACATTATATTTCCCTAAGAGTGCTAAATTTGATAATTCTGTCAATATCAGTCATATTTAAAGACCAAGGAGAGGGAGTGTTTATTATCAAACCTGCACTGTACAGCACATCCAGACTTCAAACTGTGGCATGTACGGTCTCAGAGAAATTCAAAATAAATATAATAACTAAAATATAATGTCCTCTAGAGAGGACAAAAGTCTATGCCTGGGTCCCAGGGGGATATATATAGTACTGAATAATCTTTTGTCGAAATTAAAAGTCAATCTGAATGTTTAATGATCATTCCAGTAATTCTAACTTTAAACAAATACTTCTTAAATTGAAGACAATCTTGATCAAAAATAATGCGGTAAACAGTAAAATATTAAAATCTGGATTGATGTTACACACACACACACACACACACACACACACACACACACACAAAGTAATAGTATAGCATTAGTAGCTAGTTTATGTAGCCTATTGTATAAACAGACACTGGACCTTTGCATTTAAGACAGAATATTGATGTATATGTAGCCTATTTTATTCACGATGAGTGTTCAGCCTGTAGAGCACATGCCATCAATAGGCACACCATTAACTTCCTCAAAATACTGCATCTGCCTAAAAATAGCATCAGTATTACAGACTGCAAGCTGTACACAAGAAATCTCATTGTCATGATTAATTCAAGTAAAAGTGAATAAAAACAATGCAACAAAAATTGAGCATTGTTCTAAAACATCTTAGAACAGATGATTTTAGATGCACTTAATAAATTTCATAATTTCCTGACAAAGACGAAAAGCAGAGTGGACACTTCCTGTTGAAAAGTGCTAAAGTAAGCCGTATTTTATATCTTAAGTTTCAGTTTTTAAAAGAAATAAGAAAGGAACAACATTTTTTCAAGATATTTCACAGGAGTATTTGGTCTAGAAAACTATTCTGAGAAAAATGCAAATGATATCTAATCAGAAAACACACTAAAAAATGTCTACATGTCACTGCATTAAATAAAATATTAAAGCAAGTGTAATGAGTTTTGTTTAAAAGTGCATAGGTTCGGTATAGAAAAATGACTGAATAAACGAGTTCATATCTTCACTACACTGAGTGCATTTGTTGTGACTGTGTGGATCGTGACGCTTGTGCTTCCTCCTCAGAGAAAGCTCTTTCAAAAACACGTCTTAGGGAAAGTTTGACCTTATTTTTAAAATCGTGCCCCATGAAAACATACAGAACGGGGTTCAGGCAGCTGTTGACATACGCCAAAGAGACGGCCAACGGATCCACTGCCGAAGCCACAGAGGAACTCGAGTTCTCTCCGTACATTGCTATCAAATCTACTATGTGATACGGCAACCAGCAGAGAACAAAGGCCACAATTACAGCCAACATGATGCGAGTTGCTCGTCCAGAGTGAAAAGGACTCCTGCCTAACTTGCGTGCGATGAATCCGTAGCATGTTGTGATGCATATGAGAGGAATCAAAAAGCCAAACACAAATCTGATGACGCTTAACGTTCCAGATGCTGAAAGGCTGGAATCAACTTCTTCACCAGCATGAACTGTGCAAAGTGTGTCGTTAAACTCAGTGAAAGTTTGGCTTAATAGCATAAAGGGCAAACTGAGCACCAAAGACAAGACCCAGGCCGCTGCACAGGACAGCCGCGCAAGCAACAAATTACGATGATTCTGAGCCCAAACCGGTGTGATCACCTGAGTAAACCGATCCAGACTAATCAAGTTCAAGGTGAAAACGCTGGCAAACATGGTGATGACTATAACAGAGGGGAGAATCTTGCACATGATGGATCCATATGGCCAGTGATGGTTAAGGAGGATATGCACCACACTGAAGGGTATGGAAAGGCAGCACAGGAGGTCGGCAGTCGCTAGATTGAGAAACCATATTGTATTAACCGTCCTCTTCATCTTCATTCCAGCGATGTACACAACGAACATGTTTCCGGGAACTCCGAGGAGAAACGTCAGGCAGTAGATGACCAGAGAAAGTATCCTCATGGAATTTTTCACCTCTGAAGACACAGAGTGTGTCTCACTTTCATTGAAACACCACAGACAATCATTTAAACCTGAGGATTCATTGATGTAATCGTCTGTAAACGCCTGGTTCATTTTGCTTGAGTTGCTGCTGTCCAAAGTGCTGTTAATCCTGTAAATATCACATATTGTCAGTGTCAAATATTTCATTTAGCAGATGCTTTTATCCAAATGAGGAAATTAACAAGCAACATTCAACATTATTAAACAATACAATGAATTTTTATTATTAACATATTATTTCAATTTGTTCTAAATAGTCACTTATATGTTGATATGGTTTGAATCACACTTGAGTTTTACAGAGCCGATAAAAATGTCTTACAAAACTTGTACTCACCTCCCCAGCAGCTCTGTACTCACTAGCGATACTTGCCCCGCTTACCCCTTTAATGCGGAACCACAGGAAATAGAAGGAAGTCCTACTGATTTGATGAAACAACTACAAAGAACTCTTAGGGTAAGTGCATGAATACATTTCCTTTTTACCAAAATATCATTTTCAGTATTCCGTCAAGAATGCTGTTCTTGTAGCACAAACTGAAGGAGTTCTGATCTTCTGATGCAGCCTCTCACATTCTGGAGAAGCATGAAGAAGCTGTGAATATCCACTGCTTGGTAAACTGCAAAAGTAACATGACCAGTGCTTATTTGCCTGCTTATCATTGCTGTGAAAATGTCTGCCAACACCAGACAGCCCTAAAATGAAATGTGTCCTATATTTACTAAATGAACTATATATGGCAGTAGCATCATAACGTGTCTACGTGCATTTACAAAATGATGGCTGATTATAGTCATGACTGTTGGAAAGTACTGCATTCCTGAGAGCTGACTACAAGTGAATCATGAAGGAATTTAGATATTTATCTGCCTTACCAAATTGGATGAGTAATTGGTTTACATTAAACCACCCAAGAGTTTACAATTTGTTAACTCAATTGATGTGAAGAAAAAGAGAAAGCCCAAAAAATGTGAGATCACATCATTTATTGGGATTACTTATTTTTTCTTTTGCATAACAAAAAAACTGGGTACAAAAAAAAAATTATAATAATAAAAACCATTTTTCCACATTAACAGATGCGTAAAATAAAAAAATGTCTATAATAAACAATCAGGCCATAGTCACAAAAAAGATACCATTTGTGTAATTTAATACTTTTTTATTGGAAATATTTTGTAAACATTGATTTGCCCACTTTATTGCATGAGAAAAATACAAATTTAAAAACTCAAATAAAATGTGATTATTTACACCATGGTTTTGGCAAAACAGTTGAATCTAATTATGTGCTTAAGTACTAAATAAAAGTGGAAGCAAATGAGCTTTTAAAAAGATACCAACACCAAAACCTATAGGAATAATTTAATTATCAAACATTACTTCAGTCCTTCCAAGACTATTGTTTCATTGAAAAGACACCCGCCTCATCTGGCAACAACTATACACAAATAGCAGAGCAATGGAACTATGTTTTTTTATATAATCTACGTCAACCGTCAACGTCATTCAACAGTTCCGAGGGTTATTTCTTGCTTTCAAAAACGCACACACACAAGTGTAAAATGTTACACTACGGCTATCATTACAGGTCATATTTCCACAGAAATGTTTATCTTTATAGGAAATACTATACCACTGAATCGGTTCATGCAAGGAGAAAATCCATTATGTAACATACAATATGCAACAGTAAGAATGTGTTTAACATTTGAATTAATACAGGTTTACTGTTTGTTCTAAAAAAAAAAATTAAATGCAGTAGTATTGAATTCCACCAAAAGTTTAACAGCATCCCAAATAGTCCATCATTAGTCAATATTCTTGTCAAGTCAAGGTAAATACAGGACACTGATGTGTGGTTAAATTATATATATATACATAATCAAATCTGTACAGTACAATAATATTTTCGCCCTCCCTACCGCTCCCTACCTCCAACATTAGCTTAAACAGCAATCAAACAGCAAGAATAAGTTTCTTAATACAGGGTGCAACAACAAGAAGTTCTAAGAAAGTGGCCTCCAAAGAGGTTTTTCCACAAAAACACAAAACAAATTATAAACGAGGCCAGTCTGTAATAAGTGTTTTCTGGTTTTCTAAGTCCAAACTTAGACGGAAGTGACAATGTAAGACCCACTTTCAGTCGCGTCTCCTTTAGTGTCTCTCTTTTTTGCATTGCTTGAAATAGGTGTTGGGATCTGGGATGGTCTTGGAGTTGTGCTGTCAGCAGTACTCTTTCTGGGGCTTGGTGTGTAATTAAAAGGACTTACCCTAGCAGCCAAGGCTCCACTAGGGGAGCTGTGTTTGCTAGAGTTAGTTGAGCTAAAAGGTGCGCGTTCAGCAACTGGGAATTCATGGATCTCTGTGCCAATGTTTGGGTTACTTGGTGCAGGCTTGATATCAGTGACTTTTTTATCAAGAGACTCGCTACTCCTGAGTAAATTCAGATTTGTTTCTGAACCCAGGTGGCCCATAGCTCCATTCTCACTTGCTAGTGGCTGTTTTGAGTGCGATTCGCTTGAGTCCCTGTCACAAGGTAGCCCTTTGTTTGATTGACTGTCAATAACAGGAGGTGTATTTGCTGTGGGTGATTTACTAGACCTTGGATTGTTTATGGGACAGTCTTCAATTCTCACCCAGACATCTTCTGTCTTGGACATAGCCGTTGAATGAGCAGCATCACCAGTTGGATCTGGTAAGTCTAATGTCATAGAAGGTGCATGTGAGCTTTCGCTGTCTTTCATTTTCCTCCATGTTCCTTTGCGTTCGAGGCCCCCCTCTTTACCTGATTTTTGAGGAGGATTAGCGGGTTGCCGTTCATCCTCGCTTCTTCCCTTTTCACTGGACTCAGACGAAGCAGAGAGAATGGAAGAGCTGCTGCCGGTTCTTTTCCAAGTGCCTACTCTTGGGAGAGATGATGAATGTTTGCTGTGCTCCCTTTTCCATGTCCCCGTCCTGCTGATTGGGAGCCTGGAAGGGCTTTCTGAATGGGATCGGGAGATGTCATGCCTTCGGAGTGACTTTCCATCACCATTCTCTGCAGAGTTCTGACTATGAGGGGACTTTCTCCAACCACTTCCCTGGTAGGGTAGACTAAGTGACATGTCAGGTAAGGATGGACTAGATACTGGTGTCTGTGACTGACTTGGAGACGAAGGAGACAAGGACTCGAAAGATGCAGACTCCTCTAATTTTCTTTTTAGTGTTGGACTAGGGGCTTCTTTGATAAATGTTGACTGACGAACAAGTCCAGGCTTCTCGGACCGGTCAGACTCACTCCCACTGGATTTGGTAGATGACATCCTGGACAACTCTGCCTTCTTTGAAGAGCCCGAGGCTCCACACTGGTTTAGACTTTTTGAGGCAGATTCACTTCTAGGAATTCCACTGGTACTTCTTGGTAAACCACTCTGCTTTGTTGGTGTTTGCTGGCCCAGTTGCCTCCCTGGAGAAGTGTAAGCCATGCGTCCAGATCCAAAAGATTTTGTTGAAGCAGCACTGGGGGAGGCAGTGCGAGGCAGCTGGGTTAATTTGCTAGATGGGCTCAAACCATTCCTACCAGGTGAAACTGAGGCATGGCCAGGGGACTGCATGGGCCTTGTTAGAGATTGCTGAACTGGTCTAGAAGGTGTGGAGTCTCTAGATCCAGATCGAGAGGAAGCTTTACTTGACCCTCCTTGAGATGATGCTGGGTCCCTGGCAGGACTAGGTTCAGAACTTGCTGGGATTTTCATGGTTCTTGGAGAGTTTCCAGGACCAGGTGCTTGGGATGGTGGTTTTGACATTTGGCCACGTGGAGGGTTTTTTTTGAGTACCGGACTGGTGCTAGGAGAGCTGCTCCTCACACCAGGAACATGAATCATTGTCCTCCCTCTGGAGATCACTGGAGCTTGAGCTTGTCTGTGCTGAGAGGACATGCTTTCAAGACTGGGTCTGGGCTTTCCTGTGATTAGACTTTTATACACTTTCTTTCCTCCTTTCAGGCTCTTAGATTCTTCCTCTTTATTTTTGGACTCTAAAGTGCTTTTCTCACCAGGTTTTAGTATTCTTGGCCCTTTATTTGTAGCAGGCTTATTGTCCTCCTGATTTAAAGGGAGGTGAAAAGGTGATCCAATGGAAATGCCCGATTTGAGAGACAGAATAGAGTCTGAATCAGAGGAAGCTTGTCTGGAGAGACTAGCGGCAGCCTGATGTAGACTGCTAACTATAGAATTGGCACCCTCTTGAATGGCTTTCCAATCAAATGATTCAGAGTCTGGTGACAAGGCTTGCTCAGAAAAAGGGCTATGTGTGTCTGTGAGATCTAATATAAGATCTGGTTCCTCTGCTAAAATACCATCAGCCAACATGCTCTTTTCTTCCTTAACCCCTGGTTCCTTAGTCTTACTTCTTGGTGGCTGTTTCTTTTTCTTTGGCATTGCAGAACTGATGCATTCTTGGAGAAGGTCATCTTCAGAATCAATACTGAGGGAGCTAAGGGAACTATTTCTAGAGAAGCACACAGGGGTGTCCTCAACATGAAAGGCCTTTGGCACATAACCAGTGGCTTGTGGCCTGGGCACTTCCATCTGAGTTGCATCATCTTTGTGTGAGCAATCTTTGTTGTTGTTTTCTTGGTCAATGTCACTTAATGAGCTAAGGGATGAGTTTCTTGAAAAACATACAGGTGTGTCTTCAATGGAAAACTTTTGCTTTTCATCGCACACTGCAACTGTATTTTCTTTGGGTGCTTGTGGAAAACCTGGTTTTTGAAGGGGTTTTGTTGGAGCTGTCTGAAATGCTGATACTCTGTTGGTGTTTACTGGCTGTTCTGCACTGCACTTCAAAGGGGGAACTTTTCTTTGCTCTTTAGCTTTTCGCAGCTCAGCTTTCTCTTTAGACAAGTCAAGATCGTCATCCTCAAAGTCAAGTGAACTCAGTGAATCATTGCGAGAGAAGCAATAAGGTGTGCCCTCAATTGGTGTGTAAT